CGTCGTTCACCATCGGGGGCCTCGGTGCGTGAGCGCGAACGTGCATCACTCCAACCGGCGTCCCATCTTTACCTCCCCCACCCGCCCCAAAGGTCCCATCGCCCCCCACTAGCGTTCCGCCTTGTACTCCAAGGTCCTCTCTTTGTCTTCACCGTTCTGTGACCCCACCAGTGTGTCAGCACCCTCACGACGTCCCCTTGCCTACCCCCTCCCTAATATTATGACCCTTTCACCACCCCCACCCCATACACACCCACCGAAGAGGTCCATAATCCCCCAAGAAAAGATTCTGAACCCTGGCTGTGCATTAAAAGCACCTGAGCCCTAAAGTAACAATAATAACAATAATGTCCGATTCCTACCCCCTTTCACCATCACGCTCCAACAGAGTTGAGCTGGGTGCGGTAGGCGTGGGGTTGAGGAATTCAGTACCTTGTGAAAATGTCCCAGTGATTCTAACTGTACTGCTCTCTTGAACCTTTGCTCTAGAACAGGGTTACTCATACTTGAATGTGCACTGGGGCCACTTGGGGGGGTGGAGATAGTGCTTGTTAAAATGCAGGCACTTAGTAGGGCTGGGGTGGGGCCAAGTTCCCAGGTCTTGTCAATGTCGCTGGTCTGCAGACCATGCACTGGGCAAGGTTCTTAGAGCACAGTTGTCCCATACAGCAGCCATGGGCCACAGTGGGCACCAAGCACTTAGAAAGGGGTCCATAATGAATCGAAGTGGCACATGCTACGCTCGTGTAAAGTACACGCTGTCGGATTGAAGAGACTGTTGCTATACTGAAATGATGTTTGGGATGTACCAGATTAAATATAGTTTTTAAATTAATTTGTATGTTTTAACTGTAAGGCGGCTATAAGAAAACGTAAAATTACATGTGTAGCTCATATTTCTATCAGTGCCAGCTTAGAACATTCCTTTATATGTCCTACCGCACTCCCCAGACTCCAGGCTTCCACCCTAAATGGACTGTGGTTTCTTGGAGATGGTTCCTTCTATAACCCCTCCTCCTCAGTTTATAACATTTCATGAATCCTCAAACATTCCCAAGACTCGCCCCCCACCTAGTGTGCTCCATGAGCACCTCTACCCTCAGATGTACTCAGCCTATGACCACCCCTACTTCCCTCCTATGTGCTCTCTCGGTTTCACCTATTTGAAAGTGCTTGGCTCCCAGCCCCACCTCCAAAAAGTGGTAAAACCTTTTGAGGAATGGGGATCCTAGTGCCAAGGGGCCTCCTGGAGGTGCTGTACCTCCTGCCCCCCATGCACTTGACTCCCCCCCTTTGCTAAAGTTCAGCTTCAGCCCCTTCCCATCCTTCCCCTCCCATAGCCACCTTCTCTAGGCCTCACCCCTCTGTCTCTCCACAGCTATAATTCTGCCCTCTATAAGCCCGTACACCAAGTACGCCACCATGATCAACCAGGTCACACCCTACAACTACCCAGGTGAGTGGCCAAGGCAGGGGCTGCAGGGACCTCCCCATTTTAGGTAGGAATAGAAGGCTGGTCTTTCCTCAGTAGGGAGCTGAGATTCTGCAGGGCTGGCTGGACTTTTTCTTTTTTTGTGTCATATAATTCACATGCCGTAAAATTCACTTCCTGTCCATTTTTGTACTTTTTGTCTTGTGGTTCCAGATTTCTCTCCCTCTGGATTCCCACCTCTGTTGCTTTCTGGATTTTTGTCTTTCTGGTTCTCGACCTCCAGGTTTCCAACCTCTCTTCCTTACCTGTTGTATCTTTCTCTGTCTCCTTTCTGTGTCACCCTCTCTCCCTCTGGTTTCCCAAGTCTCTGGATCTCTGTATGTCCCTGGTTGTCTGTCTGATTCTCTGGCTCTCACTGTCCTGTCTTCTCTCCCCGCTGGGGTCCCACTTCCCTTTGAATGTAAACTGACAGACCAGGCCCTCTTTGCGGGTCCCTGGAGATCACTGGTCTCAGTGGCCCCCCTTTTGTCCCACAGTGCCCGTCCGAGATGATGGGAACATGCCTGACGTGCCCAGCCACCCCCAAGACCCCCAGGGCCCAAGCCTGGAGTGGCTGAAGAAACTGTGAGCCCCTCCACTGATGGAGGAGGCCCCACCCCTAGGGCCCCCAATAAAAATGTGAACACAGACTCCTGAATTTGAGTGTGTGTGTGATGAAAGGTGGAAACAGCAGACAGTGGCCAGGGCGAGTATGGGGTCAGTTTATTGGGGGGGGGCGTCAATCAAAGGGGGGACTGGCTAGGGTCGGGTAGGGCAGCAGTTTGTCTGGCCCCCGAGAAACCCAACTCGAGTCCAGGGCCTCATCTGTTTCGAAGCCAAAGTCTTCCTCGACCTTAATCTAGGAAGAGAAGAGCAAGCTGTGAGTGGCCCTGGGATCTAGACGAGGCCCTCAGGTCCCACATTCTTGCTCTTCAGGCCAGACCGCCTCCTGGGTGTGCCTCGGAGGGTCCCAGTGTTCCCAGGGCCATGTAGTCTCCAGTTTCCCCCAGCCTCACCAACCTCTCCCTTCCTTCCTCTTTCCCCATAGCCACCTCTCTGCATCTTCCTCCTTCCTTTCCACCCAAGCCTTCCTGGCTTTTTCCAACTCCTCCTTCCCTGCCCCACCCTGACCCTCTCCAACCCTTCCTGTGTCACCTCCTTTCTCCAGCTTTCCCAGCCTGGCCCCCTGCAAAGCCAGCTTCCCACCTGCACAGGGGCCAGTTCTGGAGTCAGCGTGACTCCTCTCCGTCCTTCCCGGGGCGCTCGCCGCCTCTTCCGCCCACTAGGCCCCTCGCCAGGGGCTGGGCTGCTGGGTTCTAGGGGTGCCGGTGTCCTTCTGGGTGGGGATAGCCCTTCTTTCTCTGGAGGCTCGTTCTCGGCATTGCCTGGGGTAGGGGCATCTGTGCCCTGGCTGCCCTCATCCTGGCAGGGAGACAGGACGCAGGTAAAGGCTGCATCCTGGACTCCCGGCTCCCTCAGCACCCCCAGCCCCCCAGGAGCCCACACTCACCTCCAGTACAATGGTGAACTGGCTGGTGCGGTAGTCATCGCCGTAGGAGTCCAGCACTCTCATGAGGAACCTAAGCCCAGGGAGAAGCCACCAGGGGACACCTATATCCTCTGGGGGTTGGGGAAAGGGTACCTGACAGCCCAGTTCTGACTCCCTCTGAAGCCAAAGTGTCCTCAACCCAGAAGGCTGAGCTCTGGGGTCTGAGAGACCTGGTGCCAAGGACCTGACCAGCCAGTGGGACTCTGGCCAAGACAAGGTCACCTCTGCACCTCAGTTTCATGTTCTGTCAACAGGAAATGACAACCCAACGGGGCAGGCTGCCTGAGAGTGACACTACAAACCAGTGGATGTGGTCCCTGAAGCTCTCAGTGGGACATCCGTGTAGTACAGGTTCAAATGCAAGTCACTTTAATTGGTAACTACACGTGAGCTGTGCAGAACACTGCCGTGACTTTGTATCTTCTCCAGCCGCCTTTTCTCTCTTTGCTTCCACAAGCTTTTTGGTTTCTTTTTTTTAAGTTCCAATCAATTGAATGCTACCTGGGAGCCAGCAAATCACAACAGGTTGGAAAGAGGATGGATGGTACCTGATTGGAACTTAAAAAGGACGGTGGGGGCGGCAGAAGGAAAAGCAAGTGCAAAGGCCCTGAGGTGGGCGTGTGTCTGGTGGACGATGAGGCTGGTGTGATGGGCCATGTGATATGGGGCCTGGCTGGCTATCGTAAGATATTAACTGAGTCACATGGGACCCCAGTACGGTTTTGAGCAGAGGAGCGACTTGGCCAGTCTTACATTTCATTTTGTTCATTTTTTTTGCTTTTGAAAAAATCTTTTTTTTTAATGGTGAGAAGGGATACATAATATTTACTGACTTAACCATTTTTAAATGTACAGTGCAGTGGAATTAAGTATGTTCCCGTCGTCGTGCAACCATCACCACCATCTCCTGAACTTTCTTAATTTTTCCAAAGTGAACTTCCCTAGTAAACAGCTCCCCACTCTCCTCCCCCAGCATCCACCATCCTCCTTTCTGTCCCTACAATTTGACTAAGTGCCTCACTGTGGAGCCCTTCAGCCCTTCAGCCCTAGAGCTCCCCACCCTGCTTTGTGTTACCAGAGGTGGGAGGCTCTGAGCCGAGCTCACCCCCTGTGCACTCTCTTTTGCCCCTCTGCAACCTTGTGGCATTGGTGTGAATTTGGTGTTACCCTCAGTTGACAGGAAACAGGCTCAGAGAAGTGGTGTTGCTTGCTGAGAGTCGCACAGTGAAACAGTGATTGAAATTAAGCCTTGTCAAGGCTTGTGCTCCATTTGCTGCACTCCACTCAAAGGGAGCACACCTCCCTGCTGGCCTCAGGGCCCTCACCACCACACCACACCCACCGCCCCACCCTCTCCAACCTGGCTTCCTTCTGGCCCCAGATGGGGAAGGTGGTGGAGAAATGGAGAGAGGCACGCGGGCGTGCAAGGGGTTACCTCCGCTCCTGCTGGAGTCTCCGCGTTATCCTCTGCACCTGGTGCAGCCTGTTTAGGACTCGTTCATTCACCTGCAGGGGGTGGGAGAGCACAGGCCAGCTGGACCCTGTTTGTCGCCCCCAGACCACCCACTAAATTGAAACTCCCACGCCAGAATCCCGCCTGCCATCCACCCTCCTCAGCTCCATTTTCCTCACGACCTTCACCATCACCATACATCCCATCCTGGTACTGAGTGTGCTCACTCACACACCAGAACACAAGTGCCAAAGGATGAGGATTTGTGCCTGTGTCCATAGAGCTTCTGGCAGAGCCTGGTGGAGTGGGTCCTCTGTAGATATTTGCAGAACGAATGACTTCACATAGTGATAGTGTTGGAAGATACCAAGATAGCAGATTAGTGTGCTGGAGACTAAGGAAGGAGGCGCTAGTGAGGGCGTCAGAGAAGAAGAGTGAGCCAAAACCCAAATGATGACAAGGAGACAAATAAGTCATGGGCCAGGAAGGATTCCAGGCTCAGAGAACAGCCACTGCACAGTTTCCGAGGCCCTAGCCTAGACACGGAGGGAGAGGGATGTGACGAAACCAAATAGAATACAGTGGCAAGAGTGGGCCTGGGTTCAAATCTGGACTCTGCTGCTGCTCAGCTATGTGAGCTTGGGCAAATTACTTAATCTCTCTGAGCCTTGGTGTCTGCATGTGTAAGATTAGAACAGTTAACAGAAGCTCTTCCTGGGGGAGGTGGGCTAAGAGCACAGGCTCAGATGCCAGCCAGCTCCTTTGAGCAAATGATTGAGTGAGGCCCCTTGGGCCCCGCATCTACCTGTCCAATAGGTGGAGAGGCAAGGCTGGAAGAGATGTCCTGTCTAGGCAGGGCAACCCCTCAGCAGGCCTGGCACTCAGTGCCCATAGGTGAGCAGTCACCTAATGGCACCACCTTTGCACTAAAAACCCCATGAACACAGAGTGCCAGGTATGAAATACTCTTAATGTGGGTGGAGAGAAGGATTCACATGAGAAGTCAAGACACGGGATGAAAAGGGGAGCAGAGAGGAGAAGGGTGAGGAGAGAAAAGCGGAGTGGTCGGAGGGATGGGGTAGCTGATGGAGGGCTGGAGACAAGACCATCTGGTGAAAAGTAGCTAGTGTCTGGCTTAAATAGTATTAGATCTGAATGACCTCCACGTCATCTATTTTACATCCATCCATACCCACACACATACACATATGCATAAAACTAAGTTACAAGTAGCACTGCCATGGACATCCTGGTGGATGTCCCTATTCCTGCAGGGCACATCTGGAGGACGGAGGACTTGAATTGCTGGCCACAGGGTGCGTGGAGGCTCAGGACTAGAATACCTGGAGCCAGCCCTGCTCCACGCACCTCCATGGCTCCCAATTCCCACAGCCTAGCATTAAGGCCATTACCCCCAGGCCTCGCCAACATTCACTGTCCAATCGTGCTCCTCTCGTCCTGAGTAAGCCCTGTGCTGCCTAGAGTCTGCATGCACTTTCCCTTCTGTCAGCCTGACTGCTCAGACATCACTTCCTCAGTCTCTAACTCACCCCTCCTCTCCATCTCCTTGACTCCTGCCTCAGCTCAGGCTGCATTCTCTCCTACCTGGACCACCAGTATTCCCCTTCCAGAACCCCCAAGACCATTGTGATGCATTGAATGCTGTCCCCCAAAAGAGGTGTGTTGGAGTCCTAACTCCCAGGACCTCAGAATGTGACCTTATTCAGATATAGGGTCTTCACAGAGGTGAACGAGTTAAATGAGGTCATTAGTGGACCCTAATCCAATGACACGAATCCTTATAAAAGGAAATGAGAGACACAGAACACCAAAGACCGCCTGCAAACCGCCAGAAACTGGGAGAGAGGCACGCAGCAGATTCCCCGCCCCCGCGCCCTCAGAAGGCCCAACCCTGTGGTCATCCGGCCTCGGACTTCCAGCCTCTGGTTGGCAGTACACATCTGTTACTTAGCCACTCGGTTTGTGGTGCTTGCTTACAGCAGCCCTAGCAAATGAATACAACCAAGTTCAGAGTCTTCCAAACATACAGATCTGGCCTTGATCCCTTTTGTTTGAAACCTTTCATTAGTTCCCTCTCACTGCAAAAGAAATCCAAATTTCACGTGCTGGCGTTTGTGGCCTTTGAAGATTTCTGCCCTACCTACTGCTCATCAAAGAAGCTAGTCCAGTAATTTAGCCAAGGGAACCTGAGTCTGGGGCAGAGGCCATGAGGATGGACAGGAGAAGGATCCAGGGAGATACAAGAAGCAAAATGGACAGGAGAGAGAAGTGACTGATGTCAGGAGACCTGAAGAACGTGAGCTCTGACTTGTGCTGGGTGGGGAGCAGGACAGGAGCCTGGGAGGCATCAGCGAGCTGATCTGGGCGGGCAGGGAAGTTCCTAGAGAACACAGCTCTGCCTCGCACAGTGCCTGTCTCATAACAGGTACGGAATCAATGAATAATGAATGAATGATGCATTCAGCGAGGCAAAAAAACGCTGGGCATGTGGACAGGCAGAAACTGGGAGGGGGAGGTAATTTAGGCTAGAGGACTCCGAAACGGGAATCCGCACTCACCTACCTGCTCGATCTCCCGGCAGCGCCGACCTAGCGCCTGGTACTTCCTGCGATTTAGTTCCCGCTGGCGCCGCCGCCGGCCCCGAGCTGCCTCTTCCTCTTCATCTCGCTCTCGGAGCCCCGAGCCTCCCAGACCCCCAGACACGAACTCCACTTCTGTCTCAAGCTCGCTCTCCAGGATGTGACCACCGAACAGCGGAGGCAGCGCCAGCTCCGAGCCTGGCGGCGCTGAGAACTCTTCAAAGCCCACGGCTGCCATGGTCCTGTAGGGTCAGGGTGCTCAGGAACCTTGAACGCCTGGCCCCCAGGCCCTCCTTCCTCAGACACAGGGGTCCAGGCCCCCAGACCCTTCCGGAGGATCCAGGTAAGTTCAAGGCCCCAACTTCTCACTGAGACTCAGGAGTCCAAGCCTCGAACCTCTGGACCCCCGCCTCTTCCCCGAAGATGCTCGAGTACAGACCCCAGTCCCTAAAACAGTTCTAAGTCAAAGCAGTTGCATGAACTACAATCCCCATCAGCCCCCAGGGTAAAGCGCGGACGGTTACATGTTATGCAGCCGCAATGTCTTTTGGGATTGATAATCTTCCCCCAAACCTCTTACCCCTCTCTCTGCTCCAGTTCCATCTCTCTCCGGCTCCCGAAGCCCTGGCCTCGAAACTTACTCGCAAACCTCTAGGTTAAGTCGTTTGCGAAACTACCCGTCCCATCAGGCTTCACGACCAAGCATCCGGGACTCCGCCGCTACGCCTCCTGGGATTGTAGTTCCTTTTCTCCGACCTCGCCTCCGCCTCCCCCACGCCCCAGACCAGCTGAAAGTCTAACGTCGCCACCAGTCGTCTGAGTTGCCCTCGTCTTTATTCTTGTGTCGATATCCTGTCGTTCGACTACGGCGAGTTGCCGTTTCGCAGGCTTAGTCCTCGGCGGCGGCCGTGGGCCAGTGGAGCCCCCTCTCCCCGCCCTTGTTCACCCCTTCTCCTCCCAGGGCGGGTGCTAATAAAGTTGTTGTTCTAAACACGGTTCGGAAGGACCTGGGGCGGGGACCAATCAGAGCGTAGCTTTGCCTCCGCAGCGGCACAAGGGTGCGACGTCAACAGTGAGCGTCGCCCTCTGTTGGAAATTGATTTCCTAGAAACCGTTGTGCAGAAGGGAAGCGGTGAGTGAGATGGAGACAAGAGGAGCGCGGCGGGTTGGGGGGACTGGATTCCTATGCCTAGGGGATGGACGTGTGTGAGGCGGACATTACTAGATTTGTGACCCAAAGGTCACATATGTTCGTACAGTGTTAGCGCTCTGGGGATATGGCAAAAGCAAAAATGTTTCCCGCCTTCTTAGAACGCTTTGCTTGGGCAGCCTTAACTAATTAAATAACAAGTGTGTGAAGCGCCATAGGGTACCCACAGAGCGGACGGGGTATGTCACCAAGAGTGGGGTGCGTGGGCCAGGGAACTTGAATATAAGATGAGAACTGAAGGCTGAGGAGGGGCTGGGCCAGTAAGAAGTGAGGGGAAGAAGTTGGTAAGCTCGGGAAATGTGAGGAGAACTCGTAGGCAAGAGGGATAGTGGCAGAGGTTGGCTGGAATGAAGCGAAGTCGTTGTACCTCCTCTGTACCAGGTGTTGCGTGGGGCTATTGAGCAGTAAACAAAACGGGCGCAGTCCCTCTCACAGAAATTTTGGCTCAATGAGGAAGATGGGCATTCAACAATTTGTTAGAAATTTAGAGACCCTTAAGTGTTGAGGCCAACTAAGGGGCTCATAGATGTATAACAGCGGGATCAGGTCAGAAAAATAATGTTTATGCCCCTGCCAGAGGGATAAAGGAGGATGAGAAATGGATATATTCAGACCTGGAGAAAGGAGAGCATAATGCAGTGGATATAAGGATTAAATTAAATTGTTCATTTACGAAATATTTCTTGAATGCCTACTGTGTGCTGGACATTCTGCTGGACAGTGGGGATATAGCAGTGAACAGACAAATGTGGTCTTAGATATGCTTACAGTTTATGGGAGAAAAGAGAATATGAAGAAACACGAGTCATATACAGGGAGAGAGTTTAGTTCTATAAAGAAAAGTTTTTCTTAGAGGAGGTGAGCGAAGGGAGTTTTGGAGAAAAGCTTATGTGAGGTTATACAGGGGCATTTACAAGGAAAAGCTGTGTCTGTTTAGGAGAAGTGAGTATAAAGGAGACATTATGTCTTAGGAAGAGAGGAGGATATGAGGGGAGACTGACCTCACAATAGAGACAGCTGGACATTCAGGGGTCTCAAACTGGCAACTCAAGGGCCAAACCCATCTTGTAATTTGTTTGGTTTGGCCTGTGCCATGGTGGTTTTTTGTTTGTTTTTGATTTAAATTATCCATTTAAGTAGTAAAAAGAAACTTCAAACTGAGAGATTCCACAAAAAGATACTGAATTTCTTACTTCTTTTGAAAAAATTCTAGAAAACCTGGCAACATGGAGCCCCCATTCCCACTGGCAAAGCGTGTCTGAAGTCAAGCAGCTCACCTGTAGATGGGGCATGAGTTCTCTGATTCCCCAGGCTCCCCTCTTTCCTACTGCCCAAGCCCTAGCCTGCTTCACTCAAGTCACTCACTCAGCCTTTGACATTGAAGTTTGCAGTCTCTGTTTTTATACTTTAGTTGGGCAGTGCAGAAGGGGAGGGACTAAGGAAAGGGGTTTGATTTATGGAGAGAAGAAAAGGACAGAGATAAGGAAAGGTTGCTTGTTTAAAAAAAAAAAAATGCCATGGGAGAACAGACTGGTGGGGATCGTACCATGTAGAGCAGGAGCTCCCAATCCCCGGGCCGCAGACCAGTACTGGTCTGTGGCCTGTTAGGAACCAGGCTGCACAGCAGGTGAGCAGCGGGCAAGCAAGCTCAGCTTCATCTGTATTTGCAGCCGCTCCCCAGCACTAGCATCACCACCTCAGCTCCACCTCAGATTATCAGGCATTAGATTCTCATAGGAGCATCGGTCTCTGGCCCCAAAAAGGTTCGGGACTGCTTATGTAGAGTAAGTAGCACTTCCCAATTTTTCTCTCTTCTTGGGAGTCTCAGAAAATACTGACGTTGGTATAGCAGCTGGGATAGATTGGGCAGAGCAGGGAGAGAATATGAGGCCCTGGTTGCTGAGGAGACCAGTATATAGGAACTCTGTCACCCATTTGGGACCAAGAATTGGAAGTGAGAGAGGCTCTTATAGAAAAAAATGAGAAGTTGCATTTAATCAAGGAGAGTTGTGTATTTTAATCCTTGATGAGGTGGTGGCGTGTGGGGTGTGCTCTGTCTTGTCCAGTGAAGTGAGTATGAGAGGATAAGTGGTGTGAGTTACAGCCGGCGGTCATCTGGGTTCCGGGAAGTTTGTTCGTAGGTTAGTGCAGTGGGTATTGAGCACCTACTACGTGCCAGGCACAGAGAACAATACAAATGAAAACAGCTGTCCTTGTGGGGACTGCATGCTAGTGGGGTTGAGGAGGAAAGACCAGGGCTTTTGGGGCGGGGGGCCTCTCGGTGATGAGGGGACCCTGCTCTCCCCACAGGCCTCGGGATGTCTCTGGCAGACGAGCTTCTGGCTGATCTCGAGGAGGCAGCAGAAGAGGAGGAGGGAGGAAGCTATGGGGAGGAAGAAGAAGAGCCGGCCATAGAGGACGTGCAGGAGGAAACACAGCTGGATCTTTCCGGAGACTCGGTCAAGAGCATCGCCAAGTTGTGGGACAGCAAGATGGTGAGTGAGCAGTGAATGAAAGCTCCCAGGAGGAATGGATGGGCAGGATAGTGGGTCTCCTCGCACAGTCCTGGATTGTGACTCTCCTCTTCTGCCCGACAGTTTGCTGAAATCATGATGAAGATTGAGGAGTACATCAGCAAGCAAGCTAAGGCCTCAGAAGGTGCCTTTCCCCACTCACCCTGACTCACCCAACTGGGCTCCCTTTTGCTGCTTCTGGCTTTAAAACTTGGGTCCACCTCTGTCTCAGCCTTTTCCAGAGCTCTCTTTTTCTCTTCCATCCCAACCTAGTCCCCTTCTCCCCTACAAAGATCCTGCATCATACAGCCAACAGGCCTTTGTTCTCACTCTGCTAAGCATGCGCCTGGGCCTCCTCTCTAGGGTTCCCAAACTTAAGTGGGTCACATGACTAGTTACAGGGGCTTCGCCTCATCTATAAACCACTTGTTTTATTTACCTCATGTTTTCTTTAAATTAACGTACTTTTCCCTTAAGTTTATCTTAGAAGGAGAGTTGCTGCTCCTGTGACTAGAAGGTGGTGCCATTTGGTAAATGGGGAGTAACCATAAACGTACATGGTCATTAAAGCATCATTCCCAACTTTGGGGAGCATGGGGTATCTCTCAACTCTCAGACCTGCTCACAGAGGCTGACCTGTATACCCCCGTCTTCTTGTCGAGGGCCTTCATGGAATTTGGTGGCAGCGGGAAGCCACAGGAGGTTGTTGGGCACTGGGGAGGTGTAGTCAGAGCAGAGTCTAAGGGAGACTCACTATGCCCTTCCTTTCTGTGAGGTTTTCCTGAGGCCCTTGGGGTGAGCAGACAGGCAGGTGCCTGACAGCTATTGGCAGGTTGTGCCTGCTGTGAGAGACCGCGATGGGGATACTCTGGAGCTGCAGGAGGGGCAGGTGGCCCTGTCCTAGGGGTCAGAACTAGTACCTGGATTGGACCTTGAAGCATGAATGTGCATGCCAGGCCAATAGTGGGGGACGTGTGCAGAGCCTCGGACGTGGCTGAGGGACAGGGGAGGCTGAAGAAGCTGCCAGATCCCTGTGGGGTTTCAAATGCCAGGCTGAGAGCTTCTTGATCCAGAGAGCCATGGGGAGCCATGAAGGTGCCGTTTCTGATGTCGGGCCAGGCTCAAGGATAAAGTCAGACCCCATCACACTGTTGTCTGGTGGGAGGCAGACATAAAACGTCTCAAAGGCAGGCAGCGATCATGTCTAACAGATGTGGCAGGAGCGCTGCCAGAGCAGAGGAGACACTCAGCCTCTGAGGGGCGAAGGGAGGCTTCTTGGGTGCTTGCTGAGTCTTAAGGACAAAGAGGTGTTTGAGGGCACAGGCTCTGGAGTCAGATGTGAGGCCTGTCATCTGCTGGCTATGTGACATCAGGCTGTGCCTCTCCATTTCTTAATTTAACAGCTACCTTCCTGGGTGGTGTGGATCAATTAAGTTAGAACGATGTCAGCCGCTGCGACTGCTGGTCTTGACACTAATGTTATTACTGCTATTAGAGCCTGGGGAGAGTTCTCCAGAAGCAGGTGTGGGGCAGGGATGTACCAGGAGAGGGAACAGCATGTATGCTAGCCCAGAGGAATGAAGTAGCCCAAGAGTCAGGGCCCTGTAATCAATCCCTATGGCTGGAGTCTGATGAGATGAGCTGGGAGGAGAGAGGCCAGACCTCGGAATCAGTGATGGCGAGTTGGCAGGTGTTGCAGATGTCCTTTGAGTGCTGCTTTGTGCACTGGGGATGCATCCACAGGAAACAGGCATGGTGCTTGTCCTTGCAGGGCCTCAGATATCAGCCTGGAGAGTTTAGCCGTCAGCCCCAGGGGATCCCCAGGAGGGTTTAGTTCTAGGGTGAAATGGGGTTGAGTCTAGACTGGCCTGGGGGAGAGACGGGAGGTGTGCAGACACACACACCCTCCCTTGGTTGACTTTTGAGCCCCTCTTGCTCCCCTCCAGCCACATCTGCGGTCTCCCCAGCTGAGGGGCCGGGAGGTATGGCTGCTGGGACACACACCCACCAGGCTGTTTCCCATCCTCACAGTGATGGGACCAGTGGAAGCAGCCCCCGAGTACCGGGTCATTGTGGATGCCAACAACCTGACTGTGGAGATCGAGAACGAGCTGAGTGAGTGTGGAGGGGCAGGCAGAGGTGACCCTACCTGGTGTCCCTGGGTGAGGGACAGGCAGCATCCCCAGCCACCCTCCCTGCTGGCCTTTCCCAGGGTCCTGCCCCCAATTCCCTTCTGTTAGCCTGAATCCAGATTTAGCTGCTGCGACAGTGGCTTAAAGAACAAAGTCATGTATTTCACTCTTCCACACGAACAGTTCAGGCTGGTCTCCTGGAGTAGCAGCTTCTGGTGGCCAGACTTTCTATCTTGTTGATCTGCCACCAGGTGACTGCCTACTTCCAGCCGCCATCTCCACATCCCCACCAGCAAAACAGGAGAGAAGAAGAGGGCACAATTCTTTAAGGGGGTGACCTGGAAGTCACACATGTCACTTATAGACCAGAACTAACTCGTGAGGGAGCCAGGAAATGAGCCTTTGTGCTGGGTGTCTGCCTGACCAGCTAAAGTTCGGGTTTGCTTAGAAGGGGAACTGGAGGTGGGGGACAGCCAGCAGAGTCTGTCCCCTCATCAGACACCTCCCATCCCTGTCTACCTCAGACATCATCCATAAGTTTATCCGAGATAAATACTCGAAGCGGTTTCCTGAACTGGAGTCACTGGTCCCCAATGCTCTGGATTACATCCGCACAGTCAAAGTGAGTGAGGGAGTGGGGCTTGGGGAATTGAGGCTCTTCAACCCCACGTGAGAAATGGACCCCATCTAATGGAAAGGCTCCTCGAACTCTACCTGTGGCCTGAGATGAGAGGGGACAGGAAGCAGATGAGCGAACTGGGGGGAGTGACCTTGGAGGCCCCAACTGCCTCCCTGTCCCTTGGTCAAGAAATGCTGAGAGGGGTGACCTGTGTCCCAGCTGCCTAGTGTGGGAGAGATAGAGCCTGGAAAGGACGTCTTCCCTCTCCTTCCCTGGAGGGAGGAGCTTGGGGGTGCCCCACTGCCCCCGCCCCAGCCAGCACTTTCCCAGCTGTGGTCAGAGCAGGTGCAGTTTGAGTAAAGACCCGAAAACTGGCAGAGGGGTGGCTGGGCAGAGGTCTGGGGAAGAAGCGATAATTGCCAAGACTCCAAGTGGGGAGGTGAAGTTGAAGGATCAGGTCACATCTGACCTCTGAGCCCGGGGAGGGTCAGATACAAGTGAAGGACACCAGTGAGGAGGCTCCCGCTTGTCCGAGAGAAGGTGAGGACAGTGGCAAGACAGGGAGCTGTGGGATCAGATGTGCTCCACATTGACCAGGCAGTGGGTCCTCCCTGTGGCCAGTTGCTCTGGTCTGTCTAGATCAGGCAGCACAGGGTGGCAGTGACGACACTTGGGCAGTGTTGTTCTCAGAGCTGGTAGAGCAGTAGCACCCTACATACAGACTCCGACTTTCCCAGCATCCCCACAAGGGACCTGAGTCGGTGCAGGAGCAGAGAGGTTTAGAGCCTTTCCGAGGCTCCGTGCCTCCCCGTCACTGCCTTGTCGCCCACAGGAGCTGGGTAACAGCCTGGACAAGTGCAAGAACAATGAGAACCTGCAGCAGATCCTGACCAATGCCACCATCATGGTTGTCAGCGTCACCGCCTCCACCACCCAGGGGTACGTACCCAGTGAGGAGAAGGCCCTCTGGCCAGCCTCAGCCCTAGCTAACAACAGATGATGATCTTGGGGTCCCAGTGGCACAGGTGTCAGTCTCCAGAGAACAGTTCATTTTAGTTATTCATGTGTTAACTGGTGGCTCCTGCAAGCCAGTCACTGAGCTGGACTGTGGGGGTCCCCTGTCAGTGAAGAGCCAGCCTCCCTCTGTAGGAGCTTGTAGTCTTGGGGGGTGAAGCAGAGGTGAGCCCATCATCAGAAGTGAAGGCAGGGACTTTGTCTTGGCTACCTCATTTTCTGTGCTGTGCCTGAGGGAAGGAACCGTCTTTAAACCCCCAGTAGAGTCCTGTGGGATGGAGACCTCCTAAGGATTGTCATCTTGTTCATTGAACAAATGTGACAGAGGGCTGGGCACTGCCCTGAGGATAGGTTACAGAACTTAGCAAAGAAGAGTGGCCTTGCCCTCTCAGCAATCTTGTCTGGGTGGACCAAGGTGCTTCCACAGGTCAAAGACCAAAGAGCTAGTGTTTGCCCCAGGCAGTGACTGAGCTCTCTAGCCGTTCAAGTGGGCCCCCAGCTTGTCACTGCCGAGGAGTAATTGTCCTGAAGCTGCACACATGTACACACATGTGTGTGCACACAGCTGGGAGGACAGGGGTCCCACACCAGGCAGGTGGGAAACCAGGGGGGCCAGGGTTCATCTCAGCCACTTTCCACCTTCCCTTGCAGGCAGCAGCTGTCAGAAGAAGAGCTGGAGCGGCTGGAAGAGGCCTGTGACATGGCACTGGAGCTGAATGCCTCTAAGCACCGTATCTATGAGTATGTGGAGTCTCGCATGTCCTTCATCGCGCCCAACCTTTCCATCATCATCGGGGCGTCCACAGCCGCCAAGATCATGGGTGAGCTCTGGGGCCAGGCAGGAGGGCCTCTGTGTTCTCCACAAGATGGGGATGCTGGTCCTGGCAGTGTGTCAAGACAGAAGGGTGGGTCCCTTCCCTGGAGCTCTCTGCTGTCCAGAGCGCCCACCCCCTTGGGTTCCTGGCACGTCCCCCTGAGAAACACTTGGAGGGGAATTTGGTAGGCAGCTGTGTGAGTTGGCTCGGGCTACTGACACAGTGTCACAGACGCGGCAGCCTCAACAACTAAGATTTATTATCTCCCAGTCCTGGAGGCATCGCCAGGGCTGGTTTGTCCTGGGGCCTCTATCCTTGTCTTGCAGATGGCCATCCCCACCCTGTATCTTCATGCGATTATCCCTTTGTGTGTGTCTGTCCTAATCTCATATAAGGACACCAGTCACATTGGACCAGGACCCATCTTATGATCACCTTAATCACCCATATAAAGGCCCCATCTCCAGATACATGCAGTCCCACTCTGAAGTCCTGGGGGATGAGGACGCCAACATATGACATTTGGGAGCCACAGTTGAGGCCCTAGCAGCCACCTTGGGGGCATGTATGTGCAGAGTCGTGGGTAGAAGGAAGCAGTGGTTGCAGGCAGGATATACTCAATGTGGATCTTGCTTTCCCTTCATCGACCTCACATCCTTGGTTAGGAGACTTTACCTGCCCCAGTTTCCCCAGCAGTATGTTGTTTCTTATGGCAGCAGCAATAAATGACAACAAACCAAGTGGCTTAAACAACACGATTTGTCACCTCAGGGTTCTGGAGATCAGGTCTACCACAGGCCTCGCTGGGCTGACCATGTGTGGGCAGGACCGCTTTCCTCTGGGGGCCCGGGGAGGGTCTGTGTCCCTGCCTTTCCAGCTTCCAGAGGCACCTGCGTCTCCTGGCTCGTGCCCCCCCACCACCACCACCACGGTCCGTCTTCAAGGTCTCTACTCTGACCCTGGCTCCACCTTTTTCTTCCACTTCTAAGGATCCTGTGGTTATGTAGAACCCACACCCCCTGGGGATTCTTCCCATCTCCAGGGCCTTCACTCTGTCTCCTCAGTCCCTTTAGCCATTCAAGGCACTAAAGCTGCAGGTTCTGGGTGTTGTGATGAATGTCTCTGGGGTGGTTCTGCTTCTGCACTGGTCACCACGCCTGTTAGAGGCTTGTTTTAAGGATGCATTTGTTTGATGAGACACTTTTCCAAGTCCTTGGAAACACCACATCCAGGTGGAAGTATTTCCCCAGTGCCCTCTCCCCTCCCCACGCCTGCAGACGAGCTCGTGGGAACCCCTAGAGCTGCACACCCAGGCTCTGGGGTTGGTATGCTCCCCAGGGCAGGGCTATGTGGCTTCACAGACTCATGAAACCACAGGTTCCTATTGGGCCACTTGCTTGCTGTGCACCCTCAGGCGAATCACTTGACCTCTCTGAGCCTCCTCGGAATTCCCCTCTAAAATGAGATAGGCCCTCTCTGGCTAGGCCAACCTCTCCAACCAGAAACTCATGTAAAGACATAGCACACGGTGCGACCCCCAACCCGACCCCCGACAACCGCCCCTGCTTCTTCCGACATCCCCTACACCCTCCCTCCCACCACAGGAGTGGCCGGCGGCCTGACCAACCTCTCCAAGATGCCTGCCTGCAACATCATGCTGCTGGGGGCCCAACGCAAGACACTGTCTGGTTTCTCGTCCACCTCCGTGCTGCCCCACACCGGCTACATCTACCACAGTGACATCGTGCAGTCCCTGCCCCCGGTGAGTGAATGAGCCCCGCTGCCTGCAAAGCCTGAGCAAGCCCCCTGCACTTCATATGAATGACAGTTGATGACTGGTCAGGAGCTTGGAGGACAGGGTTGCAGGGAGTGTGAGAACAGGGACGCTGGAGCCAATGCACTGTGGTTAGGATTCCTACTATGCAACTTGCCAATTGGATGACCTTGGGTGGGAGGCGTGAGCTCTGTGCCCCTGTCTCTCCATCCATAACATGGGGAGAATGGAATCCACCACCAGCTGTGATGAAGACTCACCTAGGTTAGACCTCGCGTCTGATAAGCGACAGAAGCATTAGCTTGTGGGTCCAAGGGTCCCGAAGACCACCCTCTAGTTCAGCGACCCACTAGATGGACTCACAGAACTCACTAGAGCTGACCCCCTTGAGGTCACGTCACAGTAAGAGGACAGGAGAATGGCAGCCAGTGCAAGAAAAGCGAGGGGCCAGGCCCAGGAGTGCCGACCTCAGTGTGCAACAGTACACGCGAAATCACCAGCCGGGAGCCCAGCGGGCCTTGGTGTTCAGAGTGGTCATTGAGGCTCAGTTACATAGGGTGGCTGTGCTCCGCCTCCAGGTTGACTGACACCCCATAACCCAGAGACCCGCCCCGCCCTAGTCACAAGTTTACTCTCTGGCCAAGGCCAAACCCCTCAGGGCCAGGCTACCCCTTCACTATACATAGCTTCTGATAATTTTAGTATTTTTATGATTATTAATTGACAGTCTTGGCTATGGATTTTACACATACCGCCTTGATGTTTCCCAGAACACAGGCCACCTTCCTTTCATGGCACCTAACGTGATTTTTAGTGATACAATGCATGTTTTCTATTTTAATCATAACCTTATTTTTTTTTTTGGTATTTGATTTGGGACTTTTCATTTGTATGTTTGTCTACGCAGATAGTAAGTTCTTTAAAAGTAGGTTAAAAGGAAACGTTGAGGATGACAATTTGTTACCATCTCACATTATTAATTTGTTAACACCCTACAATGTTAAAGTAACACGTGGCACAAGGGTGAAATGTTGCCAGGCCAAAACTGAGCTGGAGGTGGCTGGAGCTTTGAAAACAGCAATCTCATCGACTTGTCACCTTGACTCTGTTTTCCATTCTTCCAGGATCTCCGGCGGAAAGCAGCTCGGCTGGTGGCTGCCAAGTGCACGCTGGCAGCCCGCGTAGACAGTTTCCATGAGAGCACGGAGGGGAAGGTGAGGGACGGGCAGGCGTCTGTCCGGGTGGGTCGGTGGTCTGTCACATGAAAGCCAGTGTTGGGACCTAACACACATGAGCCCTGTCCTAACAGGGCAGAGGTGGGCATGTCTGTCCGTGGCCCCTACCAAAATCAGCTTGCCCTCTGCTGGTGGATCCATTTCCCAATGGTGCTGCTCTAACAAATGACTACAAATTTAGTAGCTTAAATTTATGGTAGCAGGTAAACCTGGTGCATCCAGTGGTGCTGAGTAAATGCTAGGAAGGCAAGTAAAGGGCACTGGACAATGAGGGTAGTTGGCCTCGGCGGGCTCTTCTGAGGAGATGAGGGGCTCACGGACATCTGAATGAAGTGAGCTGGCGAGTGGACACTGAGCGGGCATGCAGGCCCTGGTGCCCAGGCAGACCTGGGTCTGTGTACCTGGGGACTCAGCGTTAGTGGACATGCTGAGAGGGGGCCAATGGGGTCTTTCCTGAAGAAGGGCCCCAGGGGATTTGTGCAGTGAAGAACAGCAGAGTAGAGGTGACCAACTCCCGGTACCCCCACTTGCTGACCTGGGAGACCGCGGGCGGGAGGTGGGGTGGCCAGGCATCTGCATTAGAGAAGCTGTTGTGACTCAAGTGTTCAAGAGACAGTTTTCCACACAGCACTCAGAGCAGATCCTGGAGGGCAGGGGTCATGGGGAAGCCTAACCTCCAGAGCCAGCAGTGGTGAGGTTCTCAGGGCTGGTGGTACAGGGTGGGCCCCGGAGTGGGCTCCATGAATGGTCGGAAGGACTGGGAGGCTGGAGCTGGCCACCCCCGGAGCAGCTGCAGTGCTTCCCTGTACCCCTCCCAGGTGGGTTATGAACTCAAGGACGAGATTGAGCGCAAGTTTGACAAGTGGCAAGAGCCGCCACCCGTGAAGCAGGTGAAGCCGTTGCCTGCACCCCTTGATGGGCAGCGCAAGAAGCGAGGTGGCCGCAGGTGAGGCCCTGGGAGACTGGTTGAGCAGTGGGGGTGGGTCAGAGGGAGGAGGCTCTGCCATCTGGGCTAACTACCACGTGCCCCCATCCCCAGGTACCGTAAGATGAAAGAGCGGCTGGGGCTGACAGAGATACGGAAGCAGGCCAACCGCATGAGCTTCGGAGAGGTTGGGCCCCTAACAACTATCGCCATGGGACCCTGGGGTCCCTTCCCCTCTGACCTGCTGCCTTCTATAGTCCTCCTTCTCTGTCCTGTGGCCCCAACCCACCCTCATCAAGATCTGGGCACCACCCCAGCCTCCTCCCTGGTCCCCCAGCTCCAGTCTCCCCTCCCTGCCCCAAAGGGGCCTACACAACCCTCAGCACTGGCCCCCTCGCCCTGCAGCTCCTCGTCAACCCAGGCTCTTGTCCAGGTACCACAGGCCTTGCCAACTCGTCCCTCCAACTCCCTCCCCATGCCCTGCCTGACACACTATGTGCCTCGCCCCTGCCAGTTTCATTATCCCAACATCTTCCTCCTGGTCCCACATGCACCTGCTCAAGTGCCATTTCATTGGTGAAACCTGTTCTGGTTCTTGACACCACACACACATACAGAGACACAGAGACATACATACACACCACACATACACGGCCCCTCTCACCTGTCAGCTTGGGGAACAGTAACAGGATCCAACTTCTCACAGGCCTCCAGTGGCACCTCAGCAAGGCTCATTGCATTTGGGGCCCAGTAGGTGCCTGAACAGGTGCCCGCAGGACTGGCTGAGTGGGTGGACAGCTGGACTTGTAGCTGATCAAGGAGGGTGACTAACTCCAGGATACCTTCCTCTCCCCAGATTGAGGAGGACGCCTACCAGGAGGATCTGGGCTTCAGCCTGGGTCACCTGGGCAAGTCGGGCAGTGGGCGTGTGCGGCAGACACAGGTGAACGAGGCCACCAAAGCCAGGATCTCCAAGACGCTGCAGGTACAGCCGGGCCCATGTGGGTGGGGTGAAGTGGACCAGGGTGGAACAGCACAGTCTCAGCGGGATCTCCCCTCCCCCGCACAGCGGACCCTGCAGAAGCAGAGTGTGGTATATGGCGGGAAGTCCACCATCCGAGACCGCTCCTCGGGGACCGCCTCCAGTGTGGCCTTCACCCCGCTCCAGGTACACACTGGCTCACCTACTGGAGTCAGGAGAGCCCCTTCCCCTCCCCAGGCCTCTGTTGCTGTGCCTGCTCACGTGGGTGGGGGCATAGTCAGGAGCCAGGTTGTCTCCCCTGCTGCCTAGGGCCTGGAGATTGTGAACCCACAAGCAGCTGAGAAGAAGGTGGCTGAGGCCAACCAGAAGTATTTCTCCAGCATGGCTGAGTTCCTCAAAGTCAAGGGAGAGAAGAGCGGCATCATGTCTACCTGAAGGGCTGCACCCTGGGCGGCTGCCCACTGAAGGGACACAGAGGCCCTGTGAATCCAAAGGTGTCAGGGCTGGGACGGTCCTGCAGAGAGAGCCACCCCACCATCAGCTGGTGCTGGGACTGCCCAGGGAGGTACGAGGAAGGCCCGGACCCCAGCACCAAGCTCGCCACCCCATTCAGCGAGTAGAGCCAGTCTTCATGCCTTGTCTTTTTTATTTTAATTGGGAAAGGAGATACTTTTAGAAAAACTGCAATTAAAGGCACATTGTCAGATCTGTCCCTGAGGAGTGATTGTCAAACCCCTGGATGACTGGGAGTCAGCTACCGGATTTGAGAGACAGAACTTGGGCTACCAATCTGGGTGGATTTGGGCCCCGTCAATTCCTGTTGGGGTCCCAGAAGGAGGAGCACCCTCTCTGTCCCTAGATCCCTAGGAAAACCTCAGTCATTTTGACACCCAAGTGATGTGTCCGCAGAAAGTCCCAGCTTTCAAGGCAGGCCCACCTAGGTGGTCATGGGCAGGTGACCTCCATTTTCCAAGGCTTCACACTCACCACGAGATGCCCAGAGGCACTGAGCACTGGCTCACTGTGGGGCAGATGACTGCGCCTCTTACTTCCATCCAGTGTTGGCTGGGTGCTCCGCCTGCTGTGCCAAGCCTGACTAGTGGAGAGTGGACTCACTGCTATAAAAGACCCTGCCAGGTACATGAAAGGAGTCCACAGTCTGTCTGGGGACGTGGGCCCAGCCAAAGCCTCTACTCGGGCTGAAAGGTGCAGGCTGAGGGGACATGTGGACTGCACACAGGTGGGAGAGAGGTTGTCCAGCTGGCAGTCTGGGCGCATGGCCCGAGACCTCAGTACCCTGCACAGCTAATTCAGAGACAGCTCCTCCTGCAGCCCCACCTGTCCTGTGACCCGAGCTGGTTTCACAGTGACGCTTGGGAGGAAGCCTGGGTCCTTCACCTGCGAGGTCAGTGCCCTTCCTAGTTACCGTGAAGAAGAAACTTCCCTCTACTCTTGAAGTTCTTTCAGCTGGCCTAATAATCACATAGACATGAGACAGATTAACAAAGAAATTAACCTGTTAAATTATACAGCTGAAATTTATTGGATTTCGTTAACCAATATCACCATTAAAAAAAAAAGAAAATTAACCAAACTTAATACATTATCTCTGATAATCTCTTAGCATAGGCACAGCTGCTAATTCAAATTCCTCTAGATCAAGGGTTCCCAACCCCTGGGCTATGGACCAATACTGGTCTGTGGCCTCTTAGAAACTGGGACACACAGTGGCGGGCGAGCCAGAGAAGCTTCTTTATTTGCAGCCGCTTCCTAGCACTAATATCACCACCTCAGTTCCACCTCAGATTATCAGGCATTAGATTCCTGTCCCTGGTGCCAAAAATGTTGGAGACTATTGCCACTGCCGTAGATAAGGGGAGGGATAGAAGTTTCTCTTGAGCCTGCAGGGGTTCGGTTGATATCACTGAGGTGCCACCTACTGGGGTGGCTCATTCCGAACCCCCACACCCAGAATGTGGGTGCACAGGCAGGAACCAGCTCAGCAAGAAGGTGACACCTGTCTGCCTGGCCCCCACTCTGTCCAGCGTGGCCTCCCTGGGTCTTGGTCTTGCTGTGTCAGGTCTGCAGTTGCCCTCTTTATGTTCCTCTCTGGGCCTCCCCCTTTTCCACTCAGGGTTCCACGTGTGTCCCTGGACCCCAGTCCCTCCCTTAGCCTAAGGTTCTGTCTCTGGATCTCGGGGGTTCTGTGACTGTCTCTTCCAGTCTGCACACTTGGTAGCTTTCATCTAATGGCCGTTACCCCAGGTCACATGACTGTTTTCCCAACTTTGTCCCTGAGCCTTTAGATAGCCCTGTGTAAAGGTACAGCCTTTGCTGATCTCTGCTTAGGGGTCTATGGGGAAGGGCCCTCTGTGCACAGCTCCTCAGAACCCCCATCTCTCCTGGCCAGAGTAGATCTAATGGGGCTGGAGGGACTCAGGAAAGACTGAGTCACCTGGCCCTGCCATCCTGTGTATATTTACAACAAAGATCCTGGAAGTTTAATATACTTCAGAATTACCTGGAAGGCTTGTCAGAATGGGTTGCAGGCACCAGAGTTTGTGATTCTGTCTGGGGAGGGGAGCTCAAAGATAGGCATTTCTAACAAGTTCACAGGCAATCTTTATGCCCCTGATCAAGGATGACACTCAGAACCACCGCTCTAGAAAATCCTGCGTCAGATTAGCTGCATGTTGGAATCATCTCAGGAGTTTTTGAAATTATTGCTATCTGGTTCCCATCCCCAGAAATTTCGATTTCATTGGTCTAAGGATCTGGATTTTTTTTTTTTTTTTTTTTAAGCCACCCAGTGATTCTAACGCGCAGCCTAGTCTAAGAACCAGTGCTCTGGATCCTCGCTTCTTGAGCTGTGGGAACCACCCCCCCTCCCCCATCACCTAGGAACTCGTTAGAAAAGCAGAATCAGGGACGTTCTGGACCAGAATCTGCATTTCAAACGACCCCTTGGAAAGTAAGAGGCACTGCCGTCTTCAAAGCCCATACTTTATAAAGCAAAGCTCTGGACCAATAACTGGCAGGTTCTAATGGGATCATCTGGGAAGTTTGTAAAGCTACAGCTTTCTGGGTTTCACTTCCCAGGTCTGTGTGGACCCAAGGACATTTACCTTTTTACAAGCATCCGTCCCTCCCTTGCCACAGGTGATTCCAGCCAATTCTCACTGGCATCTCCCTAGGATTTATCTGACTTTCTTCTACAGAGGAAATGGGCAGATCTAGCTTCCTAGATTGACGGGTGTGACCCTGGGTGAAGGCCTCCAGGTCGATGAAAGCACCAGTGCCTAACAAGTCTTAACCACAAGTCATCGTTCGTTCGTTCGTTCGTTCGTTCTCGTTCGTTCGTTCGTTCGTTCATTCATTCATTCAGCAAAGGGTTACTCAGGGCTTCCTGGGGATGCAAAATACGGAGGGGGATACTCGAATAATCATGAAAATGATGGCAGACGAGCAAAAGACAGTCCAAATGAACAGGGCTCCCGTGAGCACTCGGCGTGGGATGTGACGGAAGTAGCCCCCTCAAGAGAAAGCCCTGGAGGAGACCGTGGGCGGGTGACTTTCTGCAGTGTCCTCAGGACACCGAGGAAACGGAGGTGCAGAGGCGTTACCGTCCCACAGCCACAGTAACCATGCGAGGCAGAACAAAAACTCTGTGCGCTTCCAAAGTCAGCTATGCGTGCTGCCAGTGACTAGGGGCACCGTCTCCTGCTTCACTCTCGCCTTCCTTCAGCAAAGACTGAGTCGCAGGCACTTGGAGAAAGGCAATTCAGATAAGCGACAAGGACCAGTTTGCCTGAACGGGACGCTAAGGATGCAGAAGGAAGCCGCCAGTTACCAAGCCTGGCTTGCTGCGCCGTTTCACACGCTCTAAGAGCGGGCACTGCCCACTCGCAATGCTACAGGACGAAGTGAGATGAATGATGACAGGCACGACCAACGAAGGGGAAAAAAGTCGATCCTCTCGCCCAGCTCCTCCCCCTTGGCCCAGGGGCTGTTTTGATTGGCAGATGACTTCGGCTCGCCCCCCCATCCCCCGCCACACACTTTGAAGGCACCTGTCTGTCCCTCTTTAGGTACGCGGCCTTTAACGCCCACTCCCCATGCCTTCCTCCACTTTCCTTACCCACTTCCAGGACCAACCAATGGTTTCAGGGCAGAGTGTTCCACCAGAACCAATTAAAAACGGCTTTAAAGTTGAAGGACGACTGATCAGCCTAGCCCCTCCCCCCGACCAATTGACTTTGGAAAGGGGGGCGGGAGGACCCAATCATCAAGGACACAGGCCCCTTGATTGACGCACGGGCCCTCGCGCTGGCATGTTGTGCCTTGAGGCGGGAGGAGGAGGAGGAACCGAGAAGAAACCTGAGCCAATCCTAGCAGCCTGCCAGGAAGGCCAATCAAACGCCGCGCCTTGGAAGGATTGCCCAATCGGCGAGAGGGGGCTGGCTGCGTCCCCGCCATCGGCCAATAAGGCGCGCCCGAAGGGCAAGAGCGACGTGCAGCAGGAGCAATGATAGGCCTATATTTGGGGCTTCGGGGAGGGTCGGCGCCAGAGTCGAGACGAGAGGAGGGGAGGCCGCCTCCGCCGCCGCCATCTTGGACCGGGCCCGTCAGCTTCCGCGGAGCCATCGGCAGACGCCGCGGCCTCCCTTGAGCCCCGACCCTGTCGTCAGAACAACCCCGGGTCCACTTCCCCCTACCCTACTTCCGCTTCGTGCCGCTATCGCGATAGCGCCCGGGCCCGGGGCGCGAGAAAAAGGCGGTGGGCGCTCGCCTCCCCTGCCTATCGCGATACGCTCCTCAGCGGCGGCGCCAGCTCCTGTGGTGAGAGCGTCAGGCTCGACTGGGCCGGACCCCTTCCCCTCCTCCCCCGGCGCCGTTGGCCGCCGTCCCCGCGACGCCGCCTCCTGTCGCGACATGGCTGCCCCCGGCCCCACCGGGCGCCCCCGGTCCCCAGCGCGGCGCAGGCTCGCGGCAGATGGGCCCCGGCGTCCGCCGTCCTGGCCCTACGCAGCCCCCTCCTCCTGCTGTTCCAGCTCCTTCCTCCGCGCCCTTAGGCGTCGCCCGGGGTCCTCCTGCGACCCCGGCCCCGCGTGGCGTCCGCGTCTGGCCCCGCAGGCTGCGAGGTGCCGCCCCCTCCGCGTCGGCTCCTCGTCGTGTGGATACGGGCTCCCCGGGGCTCAGGCGCCCGCCCTCCCGCAGCCGTCCCTTCTGCGGGAGGTGGCCTCTGGGCGGGCCTGCGAGCTCCTCAGGACTGGCACCTTTGTGCGAGGTGGGGTCACCTCTCCCAGGGCCGCTTCCCCCCAGCGCGGGTGCCACCTCTCCTCTCCGGGGATGTGGTGGGGATGACCCCCTGGATTGAGGACTCTGCTTCTTCAGTTGGAGCCTCAGTCAGAGTTTGCACTGCTTCGTACGCAGCTCTTCCTCATAGTAAAACGCCCCGGTGGTCTGAGGCTGCCGCAGCCCCGGCCTTCCCTTTCCGGAGGAGTCAGAACTGGCTCCAGTGTCACCCTTCCGGGGGAGTCGGACTGGCCCCAGTGTCACCCCTCCGGGGTAATCAAGACTAGCCCCAGTGTCACCCTTCTTGGAGCAGTCAGGACTGGCCCCAGTGTCATCTGCTTTAGGCCCTAGCTCTTACTCTGGGTGTCAGCCTCTGGCTTTGTGTCTGGGAGCGATCCTGGATCCAGACCATCTACCTCTGGTGTCACTCTCCCCATGTGTCGGTGGGGGAGTGCTGTTTACCTCCCCTGGGTCTCAGGTGGTCCTGTCTCAATGACATCTCGGAAGTTCCCACTTTGTCTGTGTTAAGGACCTCCTGTTGTGGGCGGTGCAAACTCTCCTTCTAAGTAGTACCGGTCTTTCAGTTCAGGGGCTGCCACCTCCCCCAAGATTAGTTAATGCTCCTGTCCTTTTGGTACTGTTTTTTTTTTTTTTTGACACCTTTTTCCATTACCCTCACCATAGAGGCTGTCACTTCCCTGGTCTGAGGCTTCTATCCCCATTCACATCAGTTCTTATTATTGAGATGCACTCTTCCCAGGAGGCAGGAGCCCCCTTAGGTATCTATGTCAAGTGTCTTGCTGTGTCAGGTTCCTCGCTGCGGCCGCATAACTGCCAGCACTAAAGAGACCTCTTGGTGCCCACAGTAGTGAGTCAGGGGTCGCACCCACCTTATAGGAACCCCCAGGAGGCTGAGCCTCCCAGGGCCAAGGTTCCTGTGCTCTGAGGCAAGGGCTGTGGGGCCGTGCTGTGCTCTCTCCTGAGTAAGGAACCTTCTTTGGAGTTTGGTGCCGGCCCCTGTATGTGTATCCCTCTTGTAAGACTGAGACCCCCTCAGGTGTGGGTGCCTGGGGCTAGTGCTTCTGCCCCCTGGTGATATCTTAGTCCAGGAATGAGGCCTCTGCCCGGCCCCTGAGGCACAGACTCCTTGCTGTTGGGTGGGAGGCACCTGAGACTTGAAGGAGAGACCCCGCTATTGTCACCTTCCCTAAGGCTAAAGGCTCCTGTGCTGTGCCTTTTTTGAGGTGGGGTTCTCAGTGCCCCACTCCTGGTGTGGGCCTCCCAGTGGAGAGAGGGCTACCTATGCCCCAGGACCTACCACAGCCACCTTCCGGAGGCATAGGTCCTGTGTGGCAGTGGCAGCGGCCCCCCAGGCTAGTGTTGCCTTCCACTTCTCACCAGCGGTGCATGGTCTCTCCATGTGGGCATGTGACAGCCCCAGGATTAAGGGCCGCTTGGCCTATGTTCCCCGAGACTTGGCCTCCTGCCCTTCTCACCAGGTCTCACTGGTTTGGACCCTCATTTCATGACTGTGGGCTCCTGTGAGTCAGGCGCACTGCTCACCTCCTTCCCCCACCCCCTTGCCCTCAGCCCAGTGTGGACTCCTTCTTTGTGGGGTGTGCCTTCTTTCTGGACAGGGGACTTCTTGCGGTTAAGTCTCCTGGACCAAGGCTCCCAGACAGTGAGATCCCTCATGGTGAGATGCAGGCTCTATTGTGTCTTAGCTGCCTACCTGTCTGGGCGTGGGCCCATGGCCATGGTCCCCTACTTCCCCCTCCCCACCCCCCAGGGTCTCAGCAGGGTTCTTCTGTTGTGGTATCTCTACTTCAAGACTCAAACTCTAGCTCCCTTTTCCTCTGGTCCTTTGCTGGGGGATCTAAGGTGCAGCCCTCTCTCCCTCTCAACTGGGTTTTTCTGTGGAGGGTGTTGCCGCCTCTGCAGCCAAGGCTTCTACCTACCACAGTGCCCAGCTTCTCAGGTGCAAGTACCTCGGGCCACCCACCCTTCTCTGGAGAAGCTGCCTCTCGGGTCAGATGTGCCCTCCCCAGGCTAGGGCTCTCGTTCCCTTGGTGCCTCACTTCCAACTCCTTCAGGACTGCCAGGCTGTCTCTCTGGGGGTATCAACTACTCCCCTGGGCCAGGCTTCTCGACCTCTCAGTGTAGGGACTTGGAGAGGGCATCCCGTCCTTAAGGAGTACAGTGCCTTGTTTAGATCTGTAAACTGGGCATCCTCTCCCTCTTGGCTGGAGCCCCTGCCCCTGCTTTGGGCTCCTGGGGTGGAGGCAGGGAGCACACGCTGTTGTGTAGTGTCCCTGTTCCGCCACCCCACCCTAGGCAGTAAGGGGCCTTTTCTGGATCAGGGTGTTGGAGCTAAGACTTATCCCTGCAACCTCAATATTAAGGGCTGGGCCCTGGTGTGCACACTTGGTGGCGTGAGTCCCCTCTTTGCAGCCATCTCCCGGGGCTCTTTCTGCCCACTCCATCTTGCTAGAGCTAGGATATCCCTTAGGTTGGCCTTGGGCCCCACTGGTGTGTCAGCTTCCCCTGGGCTGAGGGTGCTGCCAGTTCTCCTGCTTGGCCCTTTGCAGAGGTTTATGCTCCCTCAAACCTAATTTAGGGTGCCATACCTTCTGTCACTGTGTGGAATGTGTCCTTGTGGAGGGGCTAGCACAGCCTCTCTGAGATTAGGGAACCTACCCCACCTCTATGTGCTTCCGGTTCAGTGTGCTCTCTGGTATACTGTCCCACCCATAGCTGCTGGCCATGCATGATTTAAATTTCAGCTAGTGAAAATACAAAGGAAAAATTCCATTCTTCCATTGCCCTAGCCACATCTCAAGTGTTCAGTGTCACAGATAGCCCAGAAACAACATTTCTGTCATTGCAGACAGTTCTGTGAGATAGGACTGTTCCTGAGACGTGCCCTCCGCATGGGTGGGGACCCTGTCGGCACAACTCCTCTTAGATTGAGGTTCAGTCCCCGCTGTAGGGCTCCTGCTGATTGGCCTGTGCAGTGGGAGCCCCGATCAGGGCTGTGCCTTCCAGCAGGCGTCCTGACCCTCTCTTCCAGAGCTGTGCCACCTCTGGTCTCAATGTCGGGCCCTAAGGTTCAGCCTCTCCCGGACAAAACTCCTGGTGACTCAGTCACCTCTGAGTTGCATATAACCTCCCTCTGGGTGAAGAGGCTCCTCTCTCAGTGTTTTGGGCACTTGCCCTGCCAGTCTATTTCCCTGAGTCTATGTTACTGGCACTTTGTCACGTAATTTCTTTGTGTGTGCAGATAGCTCCCTCACAGCAAAGGTCTCCTACCCTGTCACCCTCCTTAGTCTCCCCCACACCCCTCTCTGCTCCCAAGCCTCCACTCTCTCAGGCTTAAAAGAGTTACCTCCTTTGGTTTAAGGATTCTGCTCTGGGATAAATGTCTCCTTGTCCTAAGGGTCTCTTCTACTTGGGACCCAGCCCTGTTGGTGTGGGTAGTTTTGGCTCTTTGTGGTTCCAGCTGCCTCTCAGGTCAGGTGCGCCCTGTCCCCGACCTCCCCCCATCCCTTATAGCTCATACACGTACAATATCAGGCCCTTGTCTGTGAGGTGCATCTGCTCTGTCTCTTGACTCAACTAAGGGGTAACCTCTCCTGGTATTCGGATTTAGTCACCTGTATCCCCGAGCCCTCAGTGGGAAGGGAGGTCTCCGGGTCTCATGCCTTCATCCCTGGCAGTCAGCTGTGTGCTGCGTGACTTCTTCCTATTCTGGAAAATCCTTTTTTGAATGTCATCTGGGGAGAAGGTGCTCCATGCTCTAGGAATTGTCCATTTCCTGGGTCAAAGGTATATGAGTGTATATGTTTCTCAGTTCAGCAATCTTCCAGAATGTTCTTGTGCCAAGGTCAGGTCTTTGTCTTCAGGTAGTAAATGGGTCTTCCCTTTATCGTCCTGTGCACCCCACTGTTCCAGCCTCATCCATGTCTCTGGGTTGGGCAGCCACGGAATAAACGTGCATTCCTTCCCGCTCCCCCAGCAGCCTCCGTCTCCAGGAGAGTATGAAGAGAGCGCATCTGTAGGGCAGGGAAGATGGCGGACAAGCGCAAACTCCAAGGTACTCAGTGACTGCCAGCTGCCCATGGGGCCATGTGCTTACTCACCTCAGAACGCTCTGGGTGCCTGCTGCCTCAGCAGAGCGCTAACTGCCTCCCTCCCTAACCAGGTGAGATTGATCGCTGCCTCAAGAAAGTGTCCGAGGGTGTCGAGCAGTTCGAAGATATTTGGCAGAAGGTACAGGGGTTGGGCCCTAAAAATCTGGGTTTCTGGTTGGGGGGAGCACAGGAAGAGGTTCAGGGTCTCTGGTGTTGTCGACCAGGGAGAGGGGATGATGAAGACCTCAGAGAAGCAGCTCTGAGATAGATTGGGGAGTGGTATCCCCAGCACACAGAGAAAGATGAGGGGGCACTGGGGCAGCCAGTCCCACTGATGCCTGGATTCCCCATCCCTCAGCTCCACAATGCTGCCAACGCGAACCAGAAGGAAAAGTATGAGGCTGACCTGAAGAAGGAGATTAAGAAGCTTCAAGTGAGGGGGCTGGGGACCTGGACACCTATGTCCTGAGGGCAGGAATGGGGAGAGTGGACACTTGGGTTCCAGGGAAAGGACGAGCTGGGTCCTCGGCGTGGTCCTCATGCAGTCTCACGGACTGGCTTCTCCCACCTGCAGCGGCTGAGGGACCAGATCAAGACATGGGTGGCTTCCAACGAGATCAAGGATAAGAGGCAGCTCATAGATAACCGCAAGCTCATTGAGACGGTAGGAGCCCAGAGCCTGGGCTGGGTGGATGGCCGGTCCTGGAGGCTGCACACCGGGGAAGGGAGGGACGGTGGGCTGGGCCCTTGGCAACTATTCTCTCCAGC